TACAGATGTATGGTCTGTTTAGACTACAAGAACATCACGGTCTTGTAAGCTGTTCGCAGAATCGTCAAAAAATGTTACATAAAGCGACAGTTGAATGCTTATCAAAATCAAGATAAATACTACTAATTGATTTTTCTTTGATTATTATTCTTTCATATATTTTCAGGAAATACTATGAGAAATTTGTGGTCACCTGTACAAGTTGCTCAAGAATTAAGCAAATTCCAATTAAATCTGATGAGAACCTTTTGGATTTATCCTATATTCGGTGTTTTAAAATGTTCTAATGTTTAAATTCATTTGCACATATCAAAGATACCGACGAAAGTTCTTCAATATTCCATTACTAATCCGGCATATCATAATTTACGAAACAATATTACGTCGTACTATTTCATACAATATATGCAATAGCGTTTAATTTAAATTATAAAAATGGATATACATAAAGAATTATTCATTATCGTTTGTGTTTTAGTAAAACAGATCGATTACAGTATTTATAATAACGATCAATTACGTTGCAAAAACAATGAGGATACATAATAAGAATGGAATAAAGAATGTAATAAAAATGTGATTCTTAGTATTGTTGGAATAAATATTGTGCATAATAATTCACATTTATTAATGATATATCACATAATAATCGGCAAAAGATTCACACATTTCCCTTCATTTATACATTTATATTTATTTTAGATATTTCATTATCATACATTTTTTTCCGTCTATTTTTATTATTTAAAGTATTTATTCAATCAATTTATATTTATTCAAACTGTAATGTAAAGTAAAATGTGATGTAAGTCTATCAATATCTTTGTTCGAATGTCGCGGGAAAGCAGGTCATCCTCCCACTCGATAAAACACCTTCCTGCCTTGACTAAAGATTTTGATATCGAACATCTGATGTCCTACCTGTCAAGAGCGCTTCGAGAAATGTAATACGTAGTGGATGCATTTTGACGACGATCAAGGGTGATTTATTAGCGTCTATATTTATTATTTGTACACGAAGCGACTTGTTTCTTTGAGCTGATTTGCGCTATTCCGACAATAAGCGATCGCTTCAATTAATCGTTACTGACCGACGACAATCCACGTCGTCGGCATCGCATGACATTCGTCGCCGGACTCGTCATCATCCAAAAATACCGGTTGACGGCAGAACGAGAGGGAAGACCGGCTGATTTTAACGGTGCGATATCGTTGAGATTAGTTCGACGGCACGATGGACAAGACGAAGCTGGTGAGCAACGACCTGGAGCTGCCGCCGCTGCGCAGCCTGGACGACTTCCTGCTGGAGTCCGCACGTTTTCAGCTACCGAATCTCAAGGACCTGGAGAAGTGGGGCAACCGAGTGGTCAACAATCTTCTGTACTATCAGACTAATTACTTGTTTACATCCATCGTTATTTTCCTCATTGTCGGGTGAGTGGTTTTCGACTGTACATGGATGTCCATTTCTATGTAGATTATCTTGGGCTCGATTTAACTTACTTTTTATGTTTTTCTAGTTTCAAGAATTAGAAAAAAAAATTAAATCAAGATTATAGTTAATTTATAGATTTATAGGTTGAAACGGACCTGAGTGTTATTTTGAGTTGACGTATAATGGTTCTTGAACTTTCTTGATTACAAGTCTTTCCTGAGGAAGATTTCGAGGCTTCCGACTTTTGCTACGTTTTAGATACATATATTTTTTTGGAGTCTTGAATGAGATAGTTGAGCTTGAGCTGAATTAATATCTAATATTATCAACTTTTCAAAAATTCTTATGTAAATGCTTTATACTGTACTTTTTATGTTTTTATTTCATATTTGTTGATTTATTTATGATAAATTCTTATAGATTGATCCATCCTGTTAAAATGCTAGTTGGTATGCTAGCAATGATGGCAATCTTGGGTACGTTCGCTTACGTATCCATGGAAGGAAGCACAATACATAACTTCAAAAGGCAATATCCTGTTGTTGGAATATTCTTTATAATATTCGCTGGATGTTTCATAACGTATACTCTGGGATCTCTTTTAGTTTTCTTTCTGGGCATTCTGTTACCTGTCTGTGGTAAGTGTGACATTTGATATATTTCATATCGTTATTAATTTTGATTTTATTTCTTGAGCAATAAAAATCATATTGATTTTTATTACAATAGCTATATCTCTATTTTTCAGTGACATTTATACATGCCTCATTGAGATTAAGAAATATCAAAAATAGGATTGCCAATAAAATCGAGGGCATTGGTTTGAAACGTACGCCGATGGGTGTATTTCTGAAACATCTGGGTATGGAAGAAGAATTATTTTCATAAATTTCTATAGCTCTTTATGTTTGAGTTCTTAGGATAGATCGAGTGGAAATGCTTTGCAATCTTATTAACAATCTTACTACATCTATACACAATACCAATCTGTTTACTATGAAGCTATTTTTAAATCTGCTTCAGATAAGCTAATGGATGCAGTCATATATATATATATATATATATATTTATTTTCAATATTACTATGCCTTCTCTCTCGGATATAGACAATACAAAAAAAATTCTGATGCTTCTGAAAAATAATTTCAAAAATAAAATCAAGACACATTGTTATTGGTGAAATTATATTTTCTAAACTAGTCGCTGAATAATACTTAATACGTACGTGTTATGTTTTAAATGCTTATATACTGTTAATATTTAATGAAATCTCTATATATTTGCTGATATCGATGAAAGTAACGAAGTTATTATTTATTAATATTGATAGTATTTAATATTTTTGGACAGCATTTTCTCTAATTAATGATTCTTTTTACCCACTATATATGTATATACATATAATGTATAATATACTCAGAGTATTGTCTTCGAATATATATGTTTACTACTAAAAATATATACATTAAGAACATTTTGTAGTGTAGATAAAATATATTGACATTAAACATATTATTGTGTTGATTGAATATAAAATATGTTTCATGAAAATCTATCGTTATATATAATGTACTGAAACATATGTACGAATAAAAATACTTGAATTATCTTTCTTATTTTTTAAAAGAAAAGTAGCATGTGTTATCTCCAGAATTGATATTACACGTTCTTCACAAGTATTTCAAAGGCTGCTTATGTACTAACAATATTATATCATTTCTCTCGACATTCTATTGTGTTATTTATTTTATTCTTTGTTGAATTTATTTGTTAATGTTGAATTTTGTTAATAACTTAATTTTTTTAAGTTTAATTATTAGCTTATATTAATTTCAAGCACATTGTTTATATATTATTTATTTAATGCTATTATGTAGAATCTATATGATTTATGAATTATATTATTATATCTAATATTCTTTTATTCTTTTCTCATTCCACTATACAGAAGATGTGACTGGTATGACTTTACGTGCACAGACAGCACTCATGCAACCGCCTCACTAATACCCCGCTTTGTGCATCAAGTTCAATATCGAATTGACAAAAATTAATGTCAATAACCATTAATGTTTGCTGCCACTGCTGTTTTAATTGGACTACAGTGTTCCACACGACGTTATCGTAGTGAAATAAATCTTGTAGCATTTTTAGAACATAAATTTAGCAAATTCCTGTAACTGGAAACAAACTAATACTATGTGATTTTTTTTAGGCACAAAATTATATAGTTGTTTCATGTAACCAATAACGAATTATAATACCAAATATTTTTTTACGATACCAAAAAATTATTGAACTTACATATTTATAATAATTGTGTTACACTTTTTCTTGTGATTCATAGGACTATTTTAATGGGAATATTTTTTGAATGGGAATATATTTTTTGAATACCATATACTCAGATAATGTCCACCATATAACAAATATACAATATATATTATATATAATATCAATATTTAAAAATCAAAATGACTGAAGCTTTATCCGTATAACATTTATAAACAAATCATATTTTGAATTAATTTGTATATATATGTATATATTATATAAATAACATATGTAAACCATACGCATATGACAAATTGTTTTCACAAAAAACTTTGTTATATCATTTTCATTTTAATTTTTGGTATTTTAATGAATCCTATCATCCTGTATTGCAGAATTATTTACCGTTTTAATATCCTATACATACATGGTCTGACAATAAAATTTCCAGATTATAATACCAATAAAAAAACGTAGACATCTTATAAATAACAAAATGTTATATTTTAACTTTCAAAGTAATTATTCATAACATTAATACACTTTACACATCTTCGATATGAAGCCTCAAAACTTGTTTTTAAATGCATAGAAAAACTTTTTAAATGCATAGAATGCTATTCAGAACACTCGTCACATTCTTCTGAATATCTTTAACATCTTAAAAATGTTTATCAAGAAAGTTGCACTCACAATGTCCCTGTAGATAAAAGAATTTTTGTTTTTGGACAAGAAAAGAATTGTTAAAATTACTCACCTTATTAACTTTTTCAAATTTCATGTTGTTCTCAATAATATCATAAAAGATAAACTTTTTTTAAGATGTCAGAGATATTCAGAAGAATATGACAAGTGCTCTAAACAGCAACTATGGATTTTGTTTTGAAGATTATTAATATCATCGGACACTATTTTGAAAGAAAACAACTTTTTGTCTGAGATCTCTATTCTTTTTATTGTTGAGTATTTTACTTATTGTTGGGAACTTTATTACCAGACCATGTATATATAATACATGTTTTGTTATATTATATATGTATGTGAATCAATATCCCTATCGTTATAATATATATATATATATATAACTAGGATTATTTATTAAAGGGAATATATGAAACTAAAAGTTCATCATAACAATTATAATTATAATCAATTATAATTGCATAAACAATTATAATCAGTTATAATTGCTGACAAGCTTTAAAAAAAAAACTAGAATTTTATATTAAAAAGTGATGCAGGATATATATAAGACATTAATATGATTGAATTAAATGATATATTTAATATAAGTACATACTTAATAGGAGAAATACTTTCTACCACGTATATTACAGAATTATGACACTGTATACTAAGAAATAAGTAAAAATACAGATGACATGACGTGTACCTGTAATCAATGCATAATCTTTTATGCAGCATATTCTATTGACAATTATAATTCATATCTTTAAATTATCCTGCTCTACATCTATCTTAACTATATCGGCAGTTGTAACTTGAACTGATTATCTTAATGAAAAGATGATACATTGATATATCTTGTATTGTAATATACATAAATGTTTTCATTTATAACTGTGATATATATTATATTATGGAATCTTACTTGTCCTGTATCTTGGATCACATTGATAAAAGTTTCATAAAGAACGCTTCAAATGTTTCATTATATCGAGTAATAATGCTATAAAATGACTGCCAGAATATAATAATTTGTTGTATGTGCCACTTCGAAATATTCCAAAAAGGATGTATTGTGATGGTTGTATGCATTATGGACGGCACTTACAAGATTTTCCGGAAATGGTAATAATAAAACTAAAAAGTAATATTATTCGATACTTCGGCAGTAACTACGTATGCAACTTTTTTCTCTTATAAGTTGCGACAATCTTAATTCCTAATTAAAGATAAAAAGATTAATGAACGCATTTTTGTATGACATGAACACCGAATGGCAGTGCCTTTATCATTTGCCTTACATGAAAAAAATGTATCTTTAAATGAGAACGTTTCAAAACGTACTTAAATAAACGCGAGATATGAATAATTGATTCATTAATTTTAAGGAACAGAGATCAAATTCTAAAGTTTTAACTATACAATTTTTACAAACTATACTTTCGTATAGTAATGTAGAAACAACAGTGACAAAATTTTCAATGAATGTCTCAATTACCATAATATAATGAAGAAAGTGTAACTAAGGAAATGTAATGGAAGCAATTATTACTTATTCAGAGAAAATTACTATATCTTCGATATGAATACTGTGTTCGTTGGAAACAAGATTGTATCTAGCAGACGAGTATTTGCGGATAATGCACCAATATTTGTTTTCGGGAATGGCACCAAAAATGAATGCTCTGTTGATGGAAAACCCATTTCCTCCATTTTAATCAAAAACTCCTACAAAATGTGCAATTATATTATACTTTTCTTTTACACATGTATACAATCGTGCAATCTTAGAAAGAGATCTGAATACATACTTCTATGGTATCCGTTGCACACATTGATAACGTTTCCTTTGCACCATTAGGCAATCGTAGACAGAGCCGTAGAAAAGGTTCGTCGCCTGGATTAAAAAGTTATTTTACAGGTGAAATAAAGGATACATCAAAAACACTACAAGTCACAGAAGATGTCATATTTACCTGTTTCAGATTTAGTTGTATTTGATTTTAATTTTTCGTCTTTTTGCTGCTTAGTCGCACATTCATTCAATTTCCTCTTTTTATTAAAAGCAGTATTGCTGCTACTTGGAGCATTCAAATTTGAAACACTCGAACTTGTAATGTTGTCAGATGCTACATTCTCGTTTCCTGTGTACATAATACAAATATTAAAAAAACTAACAATAAGTAAAATGGTATGTTTATTTAGTAAAAAAAATAAATGTATACATAATTTTATAAAATTAGTTCTCTCAATTTTAAAAATACTAACCAAAATACGTGACTTTTTCTGATAAAAGTCTAGAAGTTTTGCTACTAGGTCCACAATCCTAAAAAAGCGAATATTACAATAAAAAATCAATTATAAAAAGAGAAAAAGATTTATAAAATTTATATACTAACATTTTTTATCTGATCAGCTATAGTATTTCGTTTTGGAGGTGTTGTAGGAAAATTATTCCAATCCTTAGAATCAGATGAAACATACGTAGCACTTTCTGGAGATGGATGTGTGCTCAGTACATCATTTAAATCAGAGATCAGGCTATCAACAGTAATGTTATTGTAAGTTTTCATACACTCTCCTGTTCTAGGATCTACAATCGCCAGATAAGGATATGCCATTACATTGTAAAAGTCTATATAACGTTTTCCATCCGAAGTATTAGATAAAACCTGAAAGTAACAAATGTAGCTCAAAATCAGAATATGAATCACACCAAAAAAAATTTATTAAATTTTAAAGAATATTTGTTTAAATAGTAATATTTACCTGTTACTAACATTTACCAAATAAATCAAATTAATAATTCTTTTATCAAATAAATATTAAATTTAATAAATATTTAGTTAAAATTATTTAAACAAATATTTATTAAAAATTAGTACATTTGATTAAACTCTTGTGGATTCTGAACATTGACAAGCAGCCAACGATTTAAAGTTTTCGCATGGTCCCGTGCTTCCATGAAGGAGCCCAAAAAGAGAATATCACATGGTGGTCGGAATAGATCTTCCAACCGCTTTGATTTCTTCTGAGACAATTGCTTTGCACCACCAGTTACTCGGCGAGTCATCTCTTCTTCTTGCCGTTCTATATTAATCATCCAAAAAATATGTATTACATATATATATATATATATATATATATATATATCTAAGAAATATGTTATGTGTCATGCATTATTTATATAGATACTCTAATTTTTATGTTATACGATAATACTTACGGGTTTCTACCGCAAAATCTCTGAATCTATCAAACACATTATTCGACAACTGTGGCAATGAACACATAGGATCTGAGGGCACTAGGATCTCGCGCGTGGGAAGTATTGGAGCTCTCACAGGTGGCTCAGGATTCGCGTTCTCGGTCTCCGGTGGTCTGCCACCCTCGAACATCAAACTGATCGCCATCTCCACGTTTCCATCAGCCAACGTCAGGTACTGTCGAGCAGTCGCCTCGCTCTCGCCTAAATGGAAGACACAAACTGAACATCCAGCACGTCGTCCGCATCCGTCCGTACCGGGATATCGTTCCCAGCATTTATATTTGCAGCTTCGTCGCGATTCATTCGAATTTGAAGAAAAAAATGTGTGTTTATAATCGCGACGCTAACTGGTTATGCTCACGTTATTTAACCTGAATGATAATTCTCGCGCTAACTTACAGGCAAAATGTAACTTACCCGTCACCTCGATGAATTTGTCGACCAGTTCGCGATCCATCGTGACTATCTCGAATTCAGAAGGATTTTTCTCACCGAATTCAAAAACCGATCGCACAAGAAAAATACCTCCAAATCTCTGTTCGTCCCTCTTTTTCTCTCCCTCTCTGACACTCTCACTTTCTTACTCACTCACTACTGCTCACTACTTTTCACTACACCACACTCTGTTCATACACCAAATGACATTTCGAGCATCACGATACGCTGCATCACTTCCTAGGGTTGGTAAAAATATGTTTTGAACAGTTTAATATATATATTCTTAATCAATGTTCTTAACACGTTTTTTATAACACTATTTAAAGCATGATTGAAGCATTAAAAATATGTTTAAAAAGGTTAACATAGTGTTCTATTCTTAAAAAAAAAAAAGAATATTAGTCTTTGCCGCAATTAATTCTGTTCTGTTGTAATTGCTGTATGTTTTCACGCCATCTGATACACGAAATGGCATAATTTTCTCTTTGCCGTTAGTATTATTAATTATAATTCAAAATTATTTTTATAATGGAATTGTTATATAGAACTTTTGTGCCTTCGCTGTAATTACTTTCACGATACAGAAAAAGATCATTTTTAGAATTTTCGTAATAATAATCTTAATTGCATTTTTTACAATGTATATATTTATAATAGAAAACTTACGATATAATAAAATCTCATCTATATTGACATATTCTATAATATCTATAATTCTAAACGATTGAATTATATTATTAAATATATATTGGTAATTATATTTGATTATGTAAATATTTGCAGAGATTTAATTGAAAAATAGTTAATATCACGTACAGAATAAATTATTTTGACGTCATTTAAAAATTTCGAAGATATATTTATATTCTGATTTGACATCTAAAATATTTGAGACATTTGTAATTCTTTTTATTTAATTATATGTTTTGATATTTTATCAATGTTAATTTATTTTAATAAATTTTTTAAATGACAAATTTCTACAATATGAAAGCGATAAAATTATCCATGATTTTACCGATGGTCGATATATTAGCGGATGATTTTATCGATCTTTAATATTTATCGACATTAATTACAAAGAATTTAAAAAGATGGCGCAAATCATGTTTTACAATTTCAATTTATCAAATGCCACCGGTCACATCTCTGATACAAAATTTAAACGGACATCAAATTGTATCAAATCAAAGACAATATTGTTGAAAGTTGAAGTAGCGTGCTATGCGATGAACTATTTGATCACTGTGTGATGTGAGATATGACTGAAAATTTTTGTGGAAACAGAAACGGCGTATCGAGAGAAGATAAAGCGTGATATGAAGGAAGATGAGTGTCACCAGTAAATTGCTCTACAATAAGCTTCGCGGATTACGTCCAGATCTATCATCAGGGATCACACCTGAGATCTTGAGCAAAGTATGCGACGATCCGAGCACGCAGCCTTTTCTGGAGTGGTTCTGCAAGAACGTGAGCAGTGCCAATATTCTCTCCAATGAGGAGATAAAATTGTAAAACACCTCTTTTACAAACCACAGTTGACTGATATAACTGGACTAGACTTCAGATGATTTTTTTCTTTTACAGAAAAAATACACTGGAAGATGCTGGCGAAATGTTGGAGGGTGAAGCATTGGACGCCGCATTGGAGGAAGCCGCCAGAGATTGCCCAAACTTGTTGAAACTAGTCGACATAGATGATACATGTCAAGAGGATCTATTTGTGGAATACGAAGCGTTGAAGGAAAGCTGCAGAGAAGATGAGAAGTATCTTCAGTCGTTGAGACATAGTATAAAAACTCTGAAGTAAGAACTTTTATAAAGTTATGTTTTCTCTCCTTTGAAGTATTTATGTAATAGTTATATAATTTAGAGAAATGATTTTGTTGTAGAGAAGTCAAAAATAAGCTAGATGATGACATTGAAGAAGCAGAAACTATGCTCAATAAAGAGCAGATTGAAACAGAAAAGGCATATGACGATTGCAGTGTCATTTTGAAGAAATTTGATAAAGAAACTTGTCAGTTTTCAAAAGATATCGAGAGTCTTTTAAATATGTATGCCAATGCTGCTAAGAATGTAATTATCTTAAACTTTGTAACTAATTTTACGAGTTATATGATTTATTTATTATTTTCTTTTTCAGCAAGGCAGTGCGATGTTATGGTCACAAATGCCCATCCACTTGTTTAGTAAACAAATAGAACTCTACAATCATTATCTAAGTATTCATATAAAGAAGCAATTTGGAACTAGTGTTAATAAAGAAGAGCAAGAAGAGGATTCAGATTACGGATCTCTAATAAATGATAGTAGGGACAAACAGATGGATGAAAGGATGCTTGAGTTACATATGTGTAAAAGAAAGTAAGTAAATAGGCAATTATCTTTTTAAAAAATGTATTAAGTAATATAATTGTATTTTTTCTTATTTCTTGTATAGCTTAACCCATGCTAAATTAGAAGAGATTAATGCTAGTGCTCAAGAGGATTATTACATGGCAATATTACAATGTGTACAGGATATCTATAATGGTGGAATTTTAAAAGTGCCTGAAGATAGTAAATTACAGTGAGTAAAAATTACTCATGTTAAATTAAGTTTAGTTGATTGTTTCATAGTAGAATAATTAATAATATATATATATATATATATGGTTTAAATATAGAATAAAGTAAACAATGTTTTATATAAATCATATATTTTATTTATAAACAGCGACGAAATGCAAACGCTAATCATAAAGAGAGACATCTTGGAACAGAATATTGAACTTTTGCGAGATCAACAGTTACCAGAAGTAGTAGTGCAATATGCTGAAATGGAGACTATTAAGATCTTGAAGAACGACGCACTTGCCCGTGTCGAACGGAGGAAAGCCCGTCTCGAGAAGCTCAAGAATTTACATTCTCTCGCTGGAAAGCACGGACATGTTCACATGGATCTGCTGTATTTATTAATGGAAATGCAATTTCGCCGCCTGCATGAAGTTGCCGAATTCATCGCTGACGCTCGTCATTATATTATTACGGAATATAAGCTTTCTTCTGCAAGATGTGTTGGTATCAATGTATTTCACTCTCAATTTGATATTATTTTAATAAAAATAATTTGTACTACTCATAGAACCATAATGAAATGTGTAGGAGGTCATGCAACAAGAACAGGACGAATATGCGGCACTTGTAACGCAATCTCCGGAAACGTACAATGCGTTTAATCAAATATTTATGTCTATGATGCTTGGTGACGATATCTCGAATAAGTCGTCGTTCTCTACTGCGTTGAAAAGATACGACGACTTAATAGCTGACAACGCGAAGAAGAAGAAATTAATACTGGAAACATATCCGAATATTAAAATCGACAAATTACAAAAATTGTAAGTATTATTAATAATTTTTTTTTGTATCGATGATACGTTATTTTTCTATGAGTATGTTTAATGTATATTTCTATGGATTTAGAGAGAATGAAATTAACAAGGATTACATGGCTGAAACGCAAAATGGACCAACAATTAGCTTCAGGTCAACTTCATACGAAATAAGCTCCAAGTGCGAGGAAATGTCCACAATCGTTCAACAGGTGCAAGGAAATATAACAAAGATTAGGAATCAGTTCAAAGAACGAATGGTATAGCGCTACAAACATATTAATAGTTCGTGAAAACATATAACATTTGCTAATAATTCTCATATTGCAGAGGATGGATGCCAATTTAGAACGCGAGAAGGACATTTTATGGCAGAGATTTTTGGCAGAACCTGATACATTAAGATTGAGATACGAGGAAGCAAAACAAAAAGCAAATGAATTTCACTTTAGAGATACCATACAAAATAAACTGAATCAGTAAATTAATAATTTACAAACTAATTATATAGGGAAACAGGAAAAGAGGTATTCGATATTCCAAGTTTATTTTTATACTTTTTTTAAATCAAAATAATTAAAACACAGTACATTATAAATATACATAAAATATCAAGTTACTCATTCCCTCCATTCCCCTTCCCCCCCCCCCCCCCCCCCCAATATTGAATATTAAAAATAAACATAAATTTACTATAAAAAGTTGAACACTCATTGCCTAATTTATGGCTTATACATTATTCATAATAAAGTTCGCTGAAGAGTCTTGAATGTTGATTTAATATAAATATTGTAATCAATTTTGTGTGAAGATAAATTTTTATTCCCCCCTTCCCCTCCCTGTCAAATCCTGTATATGCTCATGGTCTTTTTAATTCTTATAAGTTATTAGACGAAACCCGATCGCTGAATTTTTGTGGACATGATCCGCGCGGAGCATTACATGGACGCGATAATGAATGATTCGTCCCAAGGACGAACGTGTGTGTGTGTGTGCGTGCGCGCTGAGCGCACGCGCGTATAAACACGACAAGGGATGACGTAGAGGAGGTGTCCGAGTGTAACCTTGATCCGTGCGCATCGATGTTCTCCTCCCTCCTTTCTTCCCTCCCTTCTCCCTTCCTCTCCTGTTTCCTCATCGACGTGTTGCCCTTTCGTCTTTCTCTTCGCTCCCCGTCCTCCTCTTTGTCTCAAATTTCGTTCAAAATCGCCACGCTTCTGAAAGAGATCCGAATATACAAATGCAAAAGGTTTATAAGCAAACGCGACGGTTATGAATTATGAAACGCCCATCTCGAAGGTGTCTTATCGTCGCATTCCTCGAGTATGTGACAAAGGCGTTTTTACAATCGGCAGCGATTCGTGCTTGCTTTCTTAGCGAGCGGCGGGAGGGAGGGAGGGAAGCGTGAGAGAGAGAATACGGAACGGGGAAGTGGCAAGGCGAGGAGTATTATCGATTCGCCGGGCGGGCACCCGTGAGTTAACGGGTTGTTTACCAGAGCAGGCGAGGCGGG